CCCCAAAACCCCAAAACCCCAAAACCCCAAAACCCCAAAACCCCATTTCAACCTTCAGAGATTGAAAACTCTCAGCTTATAATACAACTCTAAATAATGGATAATAGAATGTAGATATGGATGCGTTATTTTAGTTACTTCCAAATTGGGGGTTGGCTTCCTAACACTTAGCATAAAGAACATTGAAACCGAAATATTTTCACTAGTATGAGCTAAATGATACTAATAGTGTGCAATAGACATGATATTGGAGTAGCTGGACCGATACATTATTTCTAAATTAAAGGTAATAGCTTATATCTTCACTAACATTCTGAGAATTCCCTAAGCTAAACTCCTCTTTTTAAGCAAAAGACAATTATAAGTCTAATAAATCCCTCTCATAAAATCTAAGCTATTAGAAATCAAGATTGATGAGAAAGAATGCATCAATACTCTTGTAGTATGAGCTTCAGCATCGGATGAGAAGCAACACTCTTGAGAAGTACTCTACAGAATCTAGAATTCCATTGGCTTATAACCTAAAACGACTCCACATATCTGAAAAATTTCTGTTAAAGGGCTTAGCTAGGTATTCTAAGATAACACTTCCTGAGGTTCCTTAAGAATTGGCGGTTTCAGCTACACAACAGTGCTTCTTAATTTGACGAGCTATTAGAACAGATCCTTGCAAGAAGATGCGGACTTTTGGGGTTTGGACCTGGAACTTCTAGAAGTGATCTTAGGGAATCTGGATCTGTTCTTCTCAACAATATGTTTCTCGTAGAACTTCTTATCTGGCTTCACAGGTAGCTCAGAAAGAGCTGTGATCAACGGAGGATCCCATATCTTAGGTTGAGTATCTCTTCTATCTTGTCTGAACTCTTGGCCACCAAGCTTATCAAGGTATTTCATGTATTTCTTCGGAATTTTGGGCTTGGTTGCCTTTTGCTTCTAGAAATAATGATCATAAATACTTTAGGTTTGATTTTATTCAATGGCTTAGATCTAGAGGACAATGAGCCTGGATTTCTTTTGTAGTATGCACCTTTAGGCTGATATTTGTTAATAAAATCAGGCTCTTTTCCAAACCTGACCTCCTTAAATGTACTAGTAGATTTTGGAGAGATAACCCCTTCTCTTCCTTTCTAAAGATTAGATGTGTGTTCGAACTTGGGACCAAGCTGATGGTGTGCTTTCTCTAATCTGAGCACTATTCTCATTCGATTTCATAGGAGTTCGGATAATCGAGCGAGGCTTGTCCTGAGAAATCAGCATTTTACCAGTATCCATGAGTGTATATGCTCTCTTAGCCATATTCGACCCATCTAGATTCATTTATCCAACAATACAGTAGTCTATCAGCAAATTTTCTAAGTCAAATGCTGAAGGCAAGAGATCAGAGCCAAGCATGCACAAAAATGATCTTAGATTATCCAATTTAAGAGTATCCATTCATGGATGAAAAAGTATTTCATAGGTTACTAACATCAACCGTTAGGCTTGTATAAGTTTTACTTACTCCTTGATCTCCTGAGATTAGTCTCTCTTGATGGTCTAGTCAAGGTGATATCATCTTTAATAGTCCTAATAGAGTACTTATTATTAGTAGAATGGATTCTACTAATCTTTTTCTTAAAAATCTTGCTGTCTTCCTTGCTAGGCTGATGAACAGCTGTCCCATGAGTGATCGGAAGGAGATCTCTTCGCATCTTACTCACCCACTGCTTCACAAACTTATGATGCTTAAGTTCATATCTCTTCTTGAGCTCTTCTACCTGTTTATCCTCTGTAAATTTCTTGAAATTGACTTGCAAGACTTCGTCTGCTCCCATGAGGGCTAAGGGCATTACTAAACTGTACTTACACTCATAATTTATGTTTCCTTCAGAAGGAGCATATGAAGAGTAGACCATGGGTCGTCTTCTGGCTTCTTTGTAGCTAACAGCTCCATCTTCTGGCTTCATGATGTCAATAATTGTAGGCTTGAACTCAGGAGCAATCTTCTTTTCATAGCTAGGGTCAAGCTTGTTGGTCACCATTGAAATATCTGCATCTATTTCTCCGTTGTTAGAGCTGTCTTCTTCTTTTTGTTCCACGATTATCTCCTGCTGGGAAGTACCTAAGTACCGATGAACTTTGCTCTTAGGAGTACTCTTTCTAGGAATGTTATAAAATCATTACTTTCGCTTTTCAAAGTTGATTGGGGGCTCAGATAGTTTGGATGCGTCTTCCTGAGACTGGTCACTTCGAGAAGACTCAATTGGAGAAACCGTAGGCATTGAGGCTCTTCTTTGGTCCTGTCTACTAAATTAGACTGCAATATTACCTAGAAATTGTGAAAAGTTGTTTTAACAGAGTCAAAATTTCTTCTTCATTGTATTTCTTATTTAAAATGCCTGATAATTTATCTACAAAGTCTTTATCTAAAGACTTTTCATTAGAATTATTGCTATAACAAGATAAAAAGTCACCTTACTCTTCATTAAAAATGTCTAGATTATTTGGAATTACAAGATTTTCGAGCTCAGTTTTCTCTGAGATCAACAAGTTATATATAAATTCTCTAAACTCAGGGCTACCATTAGGGAGCATCTCCTCTATCTTCTTGCTCATATCCTCTTCTTTATGCTTCTTCTGAGATTTATGGATTAATATTTGGTCATAGATTAAATCAGTGCTTGTGAAATCATTCAGATTCTTCTGAGAAGCCTCTTCAGAGGTTCTCTTAGTAGGTTCAATAATGATCTTCTCTTGAGGATTCAACTCTTGTAAGAAATAATCCTGAGTTCCTTGAAGATTCTTCATGCTCATGTCGCCTTGTTTCGGCCCATTTTTAAGCAGATTTGGTGTTGATTTTTGGTAAGTCAAGTTCATAATGGATCTATGAGTGGAGTTCATCATGGTGTCAAATCTCTTGGGCTCTTCAACTGTGATAACTTTAGGAATTTGATAAGACGTAGGAGTATAAATAAACATTTTGTACTCATCATAAGCCTCTTTTAACGCAGAGTCATACCACTGCCTTGTGCCTACCTGGTAGTAATCATTAGGAAGAGAGCGGTATATACTCGCCTGAGCACATTCAAAGTCCTCAGCTGGGACAAAGTCTATTGAGAATACACCTGTGTACGTAGAGAGGTTTGAAATTTCCTCAAGTGCTCTTGGAATAACCGGACAGCGAATATTATCCTTAAATCCCTTGACTTTACTGTAATATATAGGGTTTCTCTTATTCTCCTCATCCTTTGTACGCAAGTTCTTCGTCTTGAACAAGAAATTATTGGAAGTTGAGGAGTTCATGTGGTCATTCTTTTTCTCATATTCTAAAATTGTCACCTCAAGATTACCAAAATCGTATAATTTCTTAGTGTGTTCAGGTTCCTTGACAAAATCAGGGGAGTGGTAGATCCTACTGCCTCCAAATATTGAGTTTTTAGAGTCAACATAGACACTTTGTTCCTCCTCACCGTAGTCGAGAAGCATAGTCAGGCTACAGTGGAGGTTGGATTCTTGACAGAGCTTGTAGAGATGAGTTTTACTCTCTTGGCTCAGCTAGATATTCAGCAGGGCTCCTTACATTCTTGATTAAACTTGTTGGTAAAGTTATCCCAATGGAAGCATCTCCTAGAATATAGTAAGGATCCCTTACCTTTAGGGTAGACCTGGTACTCGGTCAAGACCTTGTTGGTTTTGACGATGTGGTATAAGGCAGGTGTTGGTGGGGTTCCGTCTTTTGCACAATGAAGATTCTCCACTTCTTGCTTCACCTAGAAGATTGGATTAGTAATGTACCTTAGCTAGCCTTTCACTGATTCTATTGTCTCTAAGGAATGAGAGAAAAGCTTACTTTATTTTGGTATAGGATTTTGATCTGAGCATATTTTATTTTATGAAATTTTAGAATTTTAAGGTTTGAAAGGGGTTTTGGGGTTTTGGGGTTTTGGGGTTTTGGGG